TACAATTGATTGGAAACTTCCACCCTACTATTCAACCTCTGTAAGAGGATTTCTGGGATAAAAACTGTCATATATCCTTTCCGAAGTGTAAAACTCTCTATCTATACTAAGCGTGATCATAATAATCATAATCAAAATGATTTATTCAGTTTAGGCTGTTACAAGCACTCATGAATGTCTAGAAGCTGCGCTATCGGTTCGTAAATCTACGGCAGGAGACCTTGTACTGAGAAGAACCGGCAAGAAACTCAGCAAACTGTTTTTTCTCCCTGTTTTATTATTTACAGAGTCGTCAAGTTCAAAACTGACTTAAGAGATGATTCATGAAGTCACCTTTCATTACATAAAGATACAATATACATTCATTGTTTACCTGCATTTTGATTGCTGTGTCATACAGTATAAATACAACTATTTCGTATTATCGTGAAGAGGTAATGCTCACTTTCGCATTTATAATATTAGTTAGTAAAAATAGTATATCTAAGTATTAAAGAACGAACTTCAGCTTACAACTTGTTTACAACCATAATCACAGACGTCAATTGATTATATTAAATATAAAAGTTCATGTTCGGGTAATTTTAAATTCAACGCGTACAAAGAAATTTGGTTACTCATTTCTTTGTCGCTCTATCCGTAAATGGAATGCTCTGTCCGCTCACGTGTTCCCTCTCTCTTACAACCTGGGATCCTTTAAAAGAGACGTGAAGAAGCAACATGCAGGCCGGCAGGGTGAGGATGGCTGGTGTGGCAGGTAGAACTGCTGTATCAGCTATCTTCGCGTCTGGATTTCATCTTCACTTAACATCAGGTGGGGTGGAGTCATTTGTCGGAACTATCTATAAAAAAAATAAAAATAGAAATATAAAACGTCTATTTGACAATCATTTGGGTTTCGCGTGCGGCAGTTGAGTAGGTTTTGTTTCTGAATTTATATTGGACTCATCGGTTCTATCTCAGTGGATACATTGGCTAGATCCATGATGGATCTACCCAATGTTACATACATTGATCCGTAGATGAGATAGAACTTGTGTCATTTCTTGAAAATAATATGATTTTTCGGTTTTAATTTAACATCGATATACTTAATATACACAGCGACAAGGTATCGTAGCAAATGACAATTACCGGCCAAGTGCGAGACCAATTCGAAGGATTCCGTACAGTATTTATATTATAATATTGAACAAAAAACGTCAAAAAATCATATCTGTTGGATACCCTTTAAATATTCATTTGATTTAATTCAATTATAAAATTTTAAAGTGAATATTAAACTAAATATTCTGTGAATGTTTAATTCGTCTACCTGTTGACGTTATTAATTTAGAACAAAAACCGACAAATAAATCACTTTTGTTGTATGGGTCACTTAAATATTTATTTCATTCTGTGTTTACTATTTATTTGTTGTTATAGCGGCAACAGAAATGGCACCACGATATGATATATAAAAAGTTTTTATCACGCTCAATTGTCAAATTACTATGGAGTTTGACAGTTAGACGCGATATAAAACGTAATATAATGCAAATTGTGGTGCTCATGCTACAGGGAATGAAGTGAAAATTTCAACTGTCTAGCTATGATTGTTCATGAGATACGGCCTGTGACAAATAGACAGACGGAGCAGCGGAGTCTTAGTAATAGGGCCCCATTTTTACCCTTTGCGTACGGAATCCTAAAAAGTGTTACAAATAAAAACAATACAACAGACTTCTAATTTATTCAAATCAAAACCAAAACAAGACTAGGTTTTTTGTTGTAGCCAAACAAAGAGTTTCTATTCAGTCGAAACACGGAAAAATATAATTAACAAAACGTTTTTTTTAATCATCAAAGAGTCATTGTGCGATTTATAAAGCTTTGTCTCGTGGACTTAGGATTTCGTTACGCTTCTGCATGTGTATGATATGATAACGATAACGAAATTTGGTTAATATTTGCATGTTTTTACAAGCCGGTGTCCGGGACGTAGACTGTTGTTGACTGTTGACTTTGTCAATCGATTTCTTATCCCATCTTCCACTGGGGTGTTTTCACCCCTCCAAAGGATGATTTCTCGTACTTTTATATCCTTTTCCTGAACTCAAACTATATCTGTTCCTCATCTTCATCGTTTTTAACGGTTTATGTGTGAAGATGTTACAGACATACTTTTTTATTTATAATATTAGTATGGACATATATGTGCACACATCAAAAAAGTCTAAGCGACACGCATAATTTACAGAAACTGTATGGTTTTTTAATTGATGTTTAATATGTCGTGACAAAGTAGATTGGTGTAGAATCTTTATTGCTCTCGCAAATATTAACGGGTTATTTAAAAAATGGAAAATATTAAAGTATAAATAAATATATCTAGATTGTATCGTAGTGTGTTTTATCATTTTCCTCGCTGTAAATGTATTTTGAGCAATAAATATCTGGAACAATACTCCTCTCTGTTACCCCGATGTAGGAGAGCATACAGTCACATTCAAGTTTGTACACGAATATTGAGTTCGCATTGGCAGAATCGAATGTGAGCCCTTGCATAAGGCATCGTCCTAATTGGCCACGATCGTATGATGACACGATGCAATCTCGTCGTGCCGTGAAAATAATCGTACGATGATTCAACAATTGTGTCTCTAATAGATTGTGCGCCAGAATTGCCCGATAGCGTCGCGCCGCCATTTCTCCGTTTTAACAATAGGGATCTACTGTCGAAACAAAAGTATCGATACTGTACTCATTAGTAGTATCGAATGTAACGAATCGATACTGACATCGGTATCTGATAAAAGGTATCGAGTACTTTTACTTTCTAACTATACATATGAATGAATTTCACTTTGGAGATCCTCGGCGAAGACCTAAAGCTAGCAGTTAATAACAAGACAACAGTTGGAAGTGTTGGAATAAAATTAAATGATTTTTTTAATTAAATATTTACTACTGTTTAATTTAACTTAGTATCTATAAATAAAACTACTATGTAGGTACATAAATATTGAGCAGCTGTGAGAATGACTTATCTATATCTGAATCGTAAACTGTATAGACTTCATTATACTAAACATTATTCAATATTTGTTTATTTTACGATCGAGTTGACCAAATCACAAATCAAATAAGCTATCATTATTTTATTTAATCAACTACTACTAGCATTAATTTCTCAATTCTTGATCGGGACTCACCTCGGTAACAGAGTCAATAGATATATTAGTGGTGTCAATAGAAAAAAGTTTAAGATTTGAATTGTCCATTTACTTTTTGGAGTACTGGGTTAGCTGGCCTAGTAATGTAAGCACTAAAAAGTATCGAGTAATCTAAAAAGTATTGAATCTTACTCGGTATCGTAAACTCAGTTATCGATACTTTTCCGGATCCCTATTTAACAATGCATCTGTGCAGTTTTTGCTGTCGGGCAATATGGCTTTTGCAAATATCATTACGTGAGTGCGTATTTTCGATTCTGTAACCTTCTTTCTTCCTTTTCCCAGATGCAGCTCAACCCGTGCCCCACAGCCAATAACGCGCAAACCAATTAGGACACCCAAAAGAGATTGGTGAATTTTATAACATGATCGTACGATTAAACCCATCATACGATTCTTATTAAACAGTGCCTGTGCGACGGCTTAGGAGCTGTAGTTAGGACACTTCTGAAGAAATCAGTATGTTTGAAAATGTTTGGACGACGAGAACGAATCGTGTCAACGTACGATCGTTGCCAATAATTATTATGACTACGCCTAACAAATAAATAATAAAAAAATATTTCCAACGTACTTCTGTAATTGGCTCTTTGTCACTACTATTCATTTCTTATTAGTTTATTAAGTAAGCTGTAGGTCTTAAATGTAACCAAAAAAAATAAAATAAATAAACACTCACACCAATTAGCCTGCCCCAAAGTAAGCACTGTAAGGCTTGTGTTATGGGATACTAGGGTAACGGATAGAATACATATAATAATATAAATACATATATAAGTATTTTTATATAGAAATACATATTAAAAATCCATGACAGAAGTACAATTGCTACTGTCTGCCTAACAAAAACTTACTAAAACTAATAATTCTAGTATGGCCGTGACCCGTATACTCATTATGCCTCAACATGTGGTTGATAAAGCCCGGGAGTCATTAACGCTTATAACCATTAGTAGCATGACTAGGGTTACAAACCCTACTATATATTAAATATCCTACTATTTAGTATCCTACTAGGGGATAAAATGCTATATTTCTAAAAAAAAAGTTGGCTTAACTACTATATTTTGCTTAAAGCAGACATTTGCCAGTAAAAGATGTCTTAAAAATAAAAAAAAATATTTATTAAGGCAGCTCTATGCCTTAATAAAAATATATTAATTTCAAAAATTAAGTAAACATTTTAACCACATACTATAGTTTTTTTAATGTTTTTGCTGTTTACCATTTTTAGAGGTATCAGCTTCGAAAATACTATATTAGATAGAAAAAAAAGATGGTAACCCTAAGCATGACCTACTCTACGGTTTTAACACAAAACAGGTAGTGGTTAGGATCCACATAGGATCCTACAAACTAAAGTTTAAATAGTAGAACGACTATTTTAAGGTTTCCTTACCCAACGGGTAAAAACGAGACCCTATTACTAAAAGACCCAGGCTGTATGTGTGTGTATCTCATAAACCGTGATAGGTTGACAACAGTGTATCCTCGTCATTCTCGTTACAGAATGAAAAGGAGAGACTGATGTTAAATTTAGTTTTAAGTTTAGAGAATCATGCCAGAATCGACACCAGTATCCTGCTATAGTATTACTTATCTTGAGCTCCTACGTACTTTGGAAGCACGTTTATTCGTTGTTCCTCTGCAGTCGTTTATACCCATTAATACACCGCGCGCTTGATCATGGCTCAATTGCCCTATCAAGTGCCCAAACAGCGGAGAATTTGGGATGATGATGATTCATAACAAAATATTAAACTTCTTTTTTCTCTATCTTTTCAGGTCCAGTTCCTCTAGCAAGAAATATCAGGCATCTGCCATGCATATCGAGGAGATCGGGTCAAGAAGGCCTTTGTATGTTTGCCATAGATTGCCTAAAAGCCAACGGCTCCCACCTCGGGACTTGCATCGACAGGTTCTACTTCGGTTCGTGCTGTCAAATACCTGACAAAACTGTACTACCACAGATTATAGGCAACAATATAGAAGACAACTCAATAGACAGTGCAAACTTCGTACATCCACAGACGGAAGAAAAAATTCACAGTACAGTCAGCAAAATACCAGACATATTCCCGACGAGGAAAACCACAACTGAAAAAGCTATCGTAACTACGACTGACAAGGCGGACACTGTACAAGATAGGACGGAAGCTATGGAAATGGAAACGAAATCAGATGACACAAAATCAGGTGATAATAAATTAACCACTGCACTTGAAACATCGACGAAGAGTCAAATTAAAGTTGAAGTTCCACCAGCTACAGAAACACCAGTCAAGCTGTCTACATTCCAAACAGTTTCGGGTGATATAAGCAATTCGGTAACTGAAGATACTAAAACAACGGAAAGTGCTAAAGTTACCCAGCAAACAACCACAACAACGGTCAAACCAACTAAGCCTTCTACAACGAGGAAGCCCATAAAATCTACATACAAGCCTAGACCTACATTCAGACCTACAAACTTTACAAGACCACAATATGTGCCAACTACGACCAAACCGAGGCCTACAAAACCTCCTTTGATATTCAATATCACAAGGAAACCACCGTACAGACTACCTCCGAAGAGGAATACAACCAAGAGACCTTTGCCATCTCCACCAAGATTAAATATCACCATTATCCCTCAATCAACTAGTACTAGGCCTATATTTACTAGACCATCTGTTCCATCTATCACTTATATAAACACAACTGTTGCAACTGAAGAGAAATCAACAAGTACTACTACTACAACAACATCAACAACAACAACAACGCCTGCACCATCTTCATCAAGTTCTACAGAAGCGTTACCACCAGTGACCGAAAGAATTACAGAAACAACGGAAACTGTGACAGAAACATTGAATTCTTCCTCCACCGAAGCTTTAACTGAGAAAATTATGGAAATCATAACAACAACTTCAGATTTACCTATACAATCATCGTCGTCGCAAACATCACCTGAAACGCCATTACCAGTTTCACCTTCAATTGAGATTTCTACTGAATCTTCTTCAGAACCAGTACAAGATTCTCAGCCTTTAGATTTGTTGCCTTCATCCTCATCAGAAGTACCAGTAACAATGCCATCAACATCAGAAACTCCTTCATCAGAAGCCCCATTAGAAACATCATCAGAGCTACTCAACGAACCCGTTTCACCAGAGATGCCCACATCAGAAGTACAACCTTTAGAAGAGCCTACGGTAGAAACATCTTCTGAAACTGTATCTACGCAATCAGAAAAAGAAACAACAGTTTCCGTAGATGAAAAAGTGACCTTAAAACCTGCTACGGAAGCTGAAATTCCTACATCACCTACAGTAGTTGTATCAACAGATTTTCCTCCGTTTGTTACGTGGTCTACGGTAGATGCAGCAACCAAAGCTCCAGAGAATGTGACGACAGAGCCTGATGGTAAGTTTTTCGAATGCATGTTTTCTGAAATTTACGTCTATACAGCTAAAGTCTTAAGTTTCAGTTATTCACAAGACAATACATGACAATTTTCCAATGACGTAAAGTTATACATATGTTTCTATTAAGCCATATTACAAATATTCTGGCTTGGCGCTCCGTTAACAATTGTGGATTTCTTTCTATTTAAGAAAACGCTAACGCTATAGGTACTTCTAAAGTTTAAAAATCAGCAATAAACAAAATTTTAAGTCTCTCTAAGCATTTAAATCAAATGTTTGATACAGTCAAAGCCCAAGAATTTTTTTTTTTTGCGTAAGAAACAAAGAAATTATTGACAGCTCATAAAATGCACAACAAAAGTATAAGTAAACAAATAAGAAACAAATTATAACACAGATCATCGTAAAATAACAAAGACTTTATTTAATATATTGTCATGACTGATATCGGTTCAATTGAGGAGCCTTTAAAAAGACAAGCTTACGTACGTAAACCTAGGGAAACAAGCTGTAAATTTTCTAAGAGGTGAAAATCCGTATGTCTCGTAATAGATTACGTTGGTGTTTAAAGTAAATCTAAATTTTCACGATCCACTAACACCACAATCACCACATGATAGGTAGATGAGGACACGGTAACGCGCAACTCGCTACTGATAGTCCGAGACTCAAGCACGAATTTTATCAGTATCGCATCATTCGCATCGTCAAAGTTTCTATGAAAAGTAAGCTGCTTTTTCCATACAATACAAAATAAAATGGTTCTCTCTCTCTCTCTCTCTCTCTCTCATACAAAATTTGACGATGGCGCTACGATTACTGTGTCATGATGTGTCAAAGTTCGTGATTGGGCTTCTGATTTCAGAAACGGCTACTGACTGTTGAGGGGGGGTCTACTCTCTTTCTCCGAAACGAACTTTCGATAACGAGGTTCAAACGAAATTTAATTTCTTCAATTTAAGGTTATACTTAATTTGAACGATAAACTATCAAATTGGAGCTTTCTTTGAGTAGGTTTAGAAAATCTACACCTCAATCTATATTCCGTCACCGAATATTATTATAATTAAAAATGAACCAGAAACATAGTAAGAAAGTGCGAAATTTCGTTTTTCGTTAAATTAGAGTAGGCCTCCTGTGTGCTTTTTAAAAACAAAACAGATTCATAAATTTTCATAAGCCAAACGACGAACCAAAACTTTGCTATACATTTTTATTTAGGAGTAAAAATCTCTAAGAACATTTTGTACGTAAACACAAAATAACTAATAAAGTTTTGTTTAAATATTTGCGTCTTTGTTAAAATACATATTTCTATAGTTTAGTTTGCAAACGTACAATTTAAAACTAATTTGGTTAAACCAAAAAAATAGATTTTGTGTAAAAAAATGGTAATCTAAAGTAAGTACTTAATCCGATTTCGAAAATTTTTAGGCAGTAGTTACAATCTTCATTATTTTTGAGTGATAGGTATAGGCTGTATTTTATATCATTGATGTGAAAACTTAACCCGTATAATAAGTCACTATAAAAATAACTGCCTGTTGAGTTTTCAGATTTATTTTAAACACACCAATTAGCCTAGCCCCAAAGTAAGCACTGTAAGGCTTGTGTTATTGGATGCTAGGGTAACGGTTAAAATACGTCGACCAATATTTAAATACGTATATTTATATAGAAATACATATAAACATTAATGACTTGTGAACAATTGCTCGTATTCAGCACAGAAACATCTGCCTACACCGGGATTCGAATCCGGGATCCCTGAGTAGGCGACAACTAGAAATGTTGGTTCGGCTTTGTCAACTAACATAGAATATACTGTACTAGCAAAAGGGATATTCCCAAATGCATATAATTCAAATATGGATTTTTTTTTTATTTATGCTCTATTTTCAATTCGCCCGCCATACCGCAATGGGCCCGCGTGGTGGGTCATGGCCTATCCTTTCTATTCCATCCATAGGGAAGGCCTGTGCCCCAGCGGGGGGCATTAATATGCTGATGATGGTGATGATGACTTTTCAATTGTCCCTCCATCTATATTTTCTTATAAAATTTATTTAAGAGCTACAAATTAATTATTGATAAGTGCGAAACCGATTATGGCGGAGAAATACAATAACAACAAAATTAACAAAGAAGCACCATGTTCTTAGGGTAATAGGGTAATAATATGTCAAAGTCAACGAGCCCTTTAATAAATAATACATAAATAAATATTTCTAACACACACCAATTAGCCTAGCCCCAAAGTAAGCACTGTAAGACCTTTGTTATAAGATACTAGGGTAGGATAGAATACATATACAGTATATTTATGTAGAAATACATATTAAACATCCATGACTGGAGTACATATGCTCGTATTCATCACACAAACATTTGCCCCCAACGGGATATGAAACCGGGATCTCTCGAGTCGGCGACACCATGAAACCCGGCGTACAAACCACTCGGCCACGGAGCTCGTATAATCATCATCATCATCAGCCTATTAATGTCCCCACTGCGGGGGCACAGGCTATCCCTGTGGATGGAACAGGGAGATTAAGCCATGACCCACCACGCGGGCCCAGTGCGGATTGGTGGGCGCTAACGACTGCAGTTGCAGCCGGGACCTGAACTCCTTGTTATTTTTATATTAGTTTCCTATGGACTGTTACGTCAACCAAGAGTTCCGAAATAGCGAAAGTTTCGAAAGCCCGTGTAAAAGTGGCTATTTATTTTTAGACATAATTCACTATTTTATCGACGTTGTATATTGTTGTATTATTTTGTTGTACAATTGAATGTAAACTATAAAATATATTTTATTTAAATAGTTCTGCATATTCCATCTTCTTGCATCTTTTCTTCACCGTAGAATAAGTTAAACCAAAATAAGAAATGAAAACGGAACATCATCAATAACTTTCACACATAGCCGTTTAGCGACGCGACGGTGATTCATAAAATATTCTGTGAAGGAACTCTGAGTCATAGACAAACATTGCCGAGGAACAAACGGGTCAGAGACAATTTATTATTCATCATAATGACAAGTTCCGTAGATGTGTGCAAACATGTTACACATTTTGAAAGATGTTTGCACCTTCTGGTGGTGTTCAGTACCCTTAGCACGAACCAATATCGAATTCGAATAGTTTGCGAGTACGAAATGCCATTGTCAAATCTGTATTGATTTTTAGTTCTCATTACGTTCATTATAGCGCTGCTGTTTGGCATTTCGTACTCGCAAACTATTCGATATTGATTCGTGCTAGAGGTACATTTATCCGTATTGTGTAAGGGCTCTTTATGAAAGGGATATTCAGAGGTGGCTTTACCCATGGTGCAGGATGTGCAATATACATAGGCACAGTGGCCTAAATGAGCGCCGAGCGTCACTCGCCACCACCCCTCAGGTTCGAGTGGTCTAGAGGCTCCAGACGGAGAGGAGACTCCCCCCGCGGGGAGATACCATCTGCCTGGAATACCTCTAGAGGCACTCGCCAATTCTCGGCTTGAGGTCCCCTTAGGATCACGCCGTCCCCAAATCCGGTGACGCTGTAAAGGTCATCTGCGACCAACAGCATATACCCATTAAAAAAAAATCACCACTATTACATTTTGACTGCGGGCGCTTACTAGGGGGCGCTAGGTTAATTATTGCATTGCACACGAGAGGCAAGAGACGAGAAACGAGTCACTATACTAGGGCTAGAGACGTCTCTGGGGATTTTTTATGAAAAATGGGTAGCAAACATCAAGTCCTCCAGATGGTAAGCGGCCGCCAAGTGCTTTACGCCTTTTTTATGTTGGGAAAATGCATGACGCATGCCCCGCCTCTGGGTGAGAGACGGGGTTATGAGGGACTCCTCCTCCCTCCAAATCCAGATGAAGGGGCTTGAATTTTCAAAATCACACGTCTTAATTCGAACGGGAATCAGATAAGCCTAACTTACTTATTAGACGACTCTCCCGTGTCCTTATGTCACGCTCAAAATGTCGAATTATTGAAATGCACACTATTCTGCATGTACGAGTAGATACCTAATTTACTCTCGAGTTTTTCTAACGATTGATCTGATCAGCTGTTCTAGGCGCTCGACCCTATTTAAAGGGGTCAGGTATGGTAGGAGAACTTCAAATGGTGCAAGGTTGCCCTCCTTATGTGTTTCTGGCGCGCTCGAGTAAATCCCAAAATTCCTGCAGGTGCTCCCCCTTTTTTTGTGTCTGAAAAATGTCTTACGCTTTCTTCAACCACCGGGGGAGCGAGAAGAAGGTATGTGGGACTCCTCTCTGCTCATTTCAGCCAGCTCTAGGGCCGGATGAAATGAGCAGGGCCCTACCTAATGCCCCGAACAGGGCCACTAAATACCGGACAATACTTATGCACCGGTCACCCGGCACGAATTCTGTGGACCCCAGTGCCCCCGACCAACCGACCGACCACCCGCCAAGTTGCTTGGGCTCCCCTACTATTATCTCATCAATCAATATCAATAGGGATGACAAATAAGGTGATAGGTGATCAAAGGCATCGCCAGCTTATGACTAAGCGCGGGGGGGGGGGGGGGCAAGGGGCAATATAATAGGTAAGGAAGTCAATTGCTCGCACTTTGGGCGCTTTGCGACTAGCTACATTTTATCTCTGTAGTATGTCCTTATGTGTGATCCTTGTAGGTAATGATTGATTGATTATCGTATGCTATGACGTTCCTACCTAACGGTGATCTAAAGTTATTAACAGCTAAATATACTGTTTATTGTACAGTATGTAAGTGCGATGTCCGAATGTCTACGACCTTTGCGGAGGCGTATTGATAAAAAATTGTAAACTCTCAAATTGTAAGTTATAAAAATTTTCAACGTTATGTTAATGGGCAGAGGCGGACTAAGGGATGTAGTCGAAAAGGAAAATAAAAAAAAAATAAGCAACAAACCTCGTTTTGATATAATAATAAAATGCCTACTCTTATTATATAGCAACATAAGATACAAACTATAAAG